AGTATATGAAGTTTACTTTGAAAAAGCACATTTAATCTTGGCAAAATTTAAACTATTTCGCCAATTGACATAATAATCTTTTAGCCAATTAAACTATGAGGTACACAAAATATTTCTCGAGAGATGACTTGAAAGAAACCTGGATATTTCTAAGATAATAATTTTTTTTAACTTATTATTTAATTCCACTTCTTAATTCAGAGTAAATTAATAGTCTAAGATAATTAATCATGCGCACGCGTAACTGTTATCAATAAATATATTACATACCTACAAATTTATGATTTGACTGTTAAACTATCAATTCTTTCGTTAAATAAATTATTATGTAAAATAATAATTTAATGTTAAAAATAATGATGATTTTAAATTAAATAACAGAATAAGTTTAAATAAAAAAAGAAAAAAGTTATATTCTCGAAATCGTGAATTATAGATCATATTGGAAAATTGTACCAAGAGACTATTTAGAATTTCTGAAATTTTATTATTGCAATTTGTTAACTAAAATTTTACAAAAACAGTATGGAAATTTTAAAAAAAGGTAAACAATCGATACAAGCCTGCAATCATGCCAAATACTGCATTACGCCGTTTCGGATCTTTTAATATTAATCGATTCGATTCAAATTTAATGAATGAGAATCGAGTGGAACGTTCAATTAACAGCAACAATAACGCGTAAATTTGGCTGGTATAGTTTATGTATCTGCATACAGGAAGACGTGTGTTTGAAATATAAACAATTAAAACCGCTCTGAAATGCTCATATTGCTTGTATCGCGTTCCATCAAAAAATTAGAGCATTTTATTGAATGTTTGGGAAATGAATCACTGGAGGAAGGAGCCCTGTACTGAACGATGCAATTTTGTTAGTTTCAAATTAATATTATATCTCCCTTGACGCATGCAATGAACGTGTGAGTAACGTAATGACGTTTGCCACAGAGATATATAACTTTGTGTAATTTATTTTAATATCGCGAACGTTTTTGTTTAAAAAATTAGCGCTTTGTATAAAACACGCAATTTTTTAATACTGGTTTGTAAAATTTTCGAAACATTGAAAAAACGCTGGAGTATTATATGATTATTGAAGTATTATATATTAAATTAATGTGCAGATTAATACATATAATCCGTAACAATTGCACGAAAAGTCTACCTTTCAACTACACATATAATAGCCAATCCATTAATTTTTAATTATTGTTTTAAATTAAAGAAAATGTAAGTATAAAATATATATGTTGGAAATTTTAATTATTATATGGTTTTAATAATTACTGCTCGATCGGAAAATTTTATCAAATATTTATAGATATATAATTTTCACATTTGCATAATATATCAAAAAAAAAAAAATAATAATTTAAAGCGCTATTCTATAACATATATAGGAATATATAAAAATAAGCATTATAACCGAATAAAACATTAATATTACTCTTGTTTTTATATTTTTATCGACGTATTGATTGAACGGTGAATTCTCTCGTTCTAACGTTATTCTCGTCGTGCGTATCGTAGGTACAACGTGTACATACATTTTATCCGGCAGCGCCTTCGAGGGCATCGAAGCGGGTCGAATCCAAAAGTGGAGAATACCGTTGGCCACGGGAAAAAGGTACGATGCCGGATGAATCGAATGACGGGGACGTGTACATAGGTCGACGGTAAAAATGCTAGAATTTACGGGGGTATATCCACCTTTCTTTTCGGTCCTGTCCTCTCCGTTGCGTATATGCCAGTCCCTACCAACCAACACTCCTACAAATGTCCCACGAGAATCTATCCATTCTACACAAACTGTGATTCGCAAATCTACCAATTTATCTGCTGTACCTGGTCAGTGACCAGCCGAATGTGACGCGAAAAATTCGCTTAACTCTCTCGTGCTCGATGGTCTCGCGTGTATAATAAAAAAAATATAATTATTGGCTATCGAACTGTTATATTACTTATGGCGATTTGTGTTTATGGATTTTAATCTATGGTCTTTGGTCCTTTATACAAACATATTTTCAGCTATCTTAAAAAATACACAATGTTTTTAATATTAATTGCTAAATATTGAAAATGATATTTTTCGACGTATATTCTTATATAAAAGGAGATTATACGTATAATATTGAATGATTAATCGAAAACATGTTTTTACGTGAGGTGAACACATGGTGGTTTTACAAACATACCAATTTATCTATTCCAGTCGTTCGTTTAACGATCGAAAAAACGAATAAGGAGTCCGAACATTTACCTAGTTGTCTGTGGGGAGAGGATGGTTGTTTTATGAGATTCTAGGATTCTCTAAAGGTTATTTCTTACATTGCTGGAGTTCCATATCAACAATTTTTCACAATTAGGGAGAGGAGAGAGAGAGAGAGAGAGAGAGAAAAAGCGTAAATTTATTAAAGCGCCCTGGGATAACATCCCCTCAGGTGCACAATATACATTAGTACTAATTTATTACAGATATATAATACATATACATAAAAATAAAATAGAAAAATAAAATAAAACAATAGATATAAGCAAGAAAGATAAGAATATCTACACAAATATATTCATTTAAATTAAGTTAATATATGTGTTTCTGAAATTTAGTAGTGAAAAATTAAATACGCTTATATTCATACAAGAACATTGAAATATTACAATTTAACATTGAAATATTGCAGTAGATTAATAATTAAAGAATGATTTTAACGGCTATTGTGTATCCATCTTAAGCAAACCAATAAAAGTCTAATAAAAGTCTAGCGACAGTCATTCATCAAGAGAGATTCGCATTAAGTATTAAATAGCATATCCTTAAATCCATTAATTAATTGTACATCCCTAACATCAGAGAGAGAGAGAGAGAGAGAGAGAGAGAGAGAGAGAGAGAGAGAGAGAGGGTGGGGGTGTGTGTATCTTGTCAAAGATTAATATATTCTGTAAATTTAATTTAGTTTCCGATTTAGGTCCCAGGTCTTTATTCATCCAATTTGGGCAAATGCCAAATGTGGATATTAGGATATTACATAGCGAACTGCCTTTGATGGAAAATATATACACACACACACACATATATATATATATACATACACAGGATGGTCCACTTAAATCGATCATCTGAAACATCTCGCTTGTTTTTGATGATATAAATAATGTTTTAAATAAAAGTAGAAGGGTTTTGAGGAGGATGTATTTTGGTTATTACGTTGTTTTTTTCTACGTGGAGGCGTCAAAAAGATATGAAGGTTACCTACACTTCTTTAAATCTCATATATATATATATACATACACAGGATGGTCCACTTAAATCGATCATCTGAAACATCTCGCTTATTTTTTATGATATAAAGAATGTTTTAAATAAAAGTAGAAGGGTTTTGAGGAGGACATATTTTGGTTACGTTGTTTTTTTCTAGGTGGAGGCGTCAAAAAGATATGAAGGTTATGTACACTTCTTTAAATCGAATTGTATAATTTTTTTACACAATATGATTCCTCTAATTATTCTGCATATAAAAGTATTAAGGCAGTGATATCAAAAAAACCAATAATGAATTGTATGATTTTTTTACACAACATGATTCCTCTAATTATTCTGCATATAAAAGTATTAAGGCAGTGATATCAAAAAAACCAATAGTTGACGAGATATTTTACATTTTATTCTGGCACATATTGACATAGAATATTAAACAACTCGTAAACTATTAACTTTTTGATAATTGTATCTTAATACTTTTATGAACAGAATATGAGATGAATCAGTTGGTATATAGAAAACACATAATTGCTTTAAAAAAGAATGTATGCAAAATGGATAATTTTTTTAAAATAAGCAATTATGTTTTCTTTCCACCAACTGATTCATCTCATTATTCTGTTCATGAAAGTATTAAGGTACGTCCTCTCGTACGAAACTCTTCTACTTTCATTTGAAACATTTTTTTATATCATCAAAAATAAGCGAGATATTTCAGATAGTCTGTTTAAGTGGATCACTGTATACATAGACACACACACTATATACGAGATTTTTAAACAGGAAATATATAGAGCGTATATAAGAGAATGAGGATTTCTGTTACACAGTCCATTATATCTCTTGGTCTAATTGCATATAATAGAATTTACTGACGCACATCATATTCTCACAACGTACGTAATGATAACCTAATACGATGATAACCTAATATGAACCATTAGTTACGCGAAGCTTCCGTAGCTTAGTGCGCACGTGAAAATTTGAATATAATTTAATAATTCTAGAGTGATTGATACCGTATTCAGTTCTGGTCATTAGACGAGGAGGATATTAGATTTCACCTTAACAGGAGATAGATAGTTTAAACAGGAAGTCAGCCCTTAAACACGGTTTGGTCGCGTGACTCGAATTAATTGGTGCAATACTTAAGAGATTGTATTGTACGTTTTCTTTAGATATGCATGATGCGCGCTAATATAGATATTATGAATATGTTAATATTGCGCACCGCTTATTAGCATAAAATTTAAGATCGCATTTTCTATATGCGCTATGCGAAAGACATTAACGTATTGCCCGGTACATAATTTAGTCCTGCCCTAGGCATCCGGTATAGGGACTCTCAGTAAATACAACTACAAGTTGATAACTGACGTTGGCTTGGGGCGATATTAGTATGATAATGCGTAAGGCTTAAGTGGGATGCTTAGTCTCACTATATTCAATTACAATACAAATTTCGGGAAAACGCTAATTTCACATTTATTCCATTAAAATTAAGAACAATGGTATAAACTTAATTTAGTACATAATTTATTAAATTCCATTTTAACTGACTATTTTTACAAAAAGTCCAGCGGAAGAATAATTTAAAAAGTTGTATATATAGTAGTGTAATTATATATTTTTTAAATATATTATATAACATAATTTTTTATAATATGGGTGCAATAGCGTAAATCAAATAATAAAATTAATTTTGAATTATTAAATGAAACTAGAATAAAAATTTTACAAGAGAATATATTAAAAAAATATTTCAGTAACTTTAAAAAAAAAGCGATAGATTTATCTTAATGAATAATTTGCAGCTGTTTCGCAACAAATGTAAAATCATAGAAAATAGTTGATCAGAAGACAAAGTGTAGATCGTTAATAAGAAATATTTGGCGTGTGGAAGTCTAATTGACACTTTATCGAAAAGCTATTTAATCGATACCTATATCGATATTGGCCGTTAGCGCAACGTTGCTTCGTTCGATTAATAACTATTCGAACCCGATATTCATCAGCGCATTCTGACTTAAGCGCGAAGTCGTACCTTTTCGATGAGATGGATAAATTGGCATGCTATCTTGTCGATAGCTCTATGCTAGGTGCTAACTGGGAAGCGCTTTCAATTAATTTGAAATATCGACCCGCCGCACAGTGGTGCTCGAAAAGAATTTTACGGACAAAAAGTTTGTTATCAAACTTTTTAATTGTTTTGAAAAATTTATTGTATATAATATACTAATAAACATTAATATTCTTGAGGCTTTCACGGGTGTTTCCTATATGACAATCTTGTGTTTCGCGGGTTTTCTCCGTGTTCAAATCCATTCTTGGAATGCTTGGCATTCCCGCGAAACACAAGATTGTCACTAATAAACATTGTTTATTATTAATACGCTAACATCTTTATGTTAATAAAACGTTTTTCATAAAATAAAAACTTAATAGTAAGTTAATAAAACTTCTTTTATTTGTTATATTAAGCTAATAAGTTTATATCTCAAGATATTTAAGAAATGTTTAAAGAAATATATTAGTTTCTTATATGTTCGCATGTGATATTTTTTTATACAAATAATTTCTCTGCATCTGACAATTGTCCTCGGTTTTTCTGGAGACTTATTGTACAGGATGTCTCAAAATAATCGCCAAATATTTCATGGGCAGGTAGAGCGGACTAAACTGAGTCGAAAAGTCCTTTACCATTTTGCAATTTTCGCAATAGTTAACAAGATATTAATTACTAAAAATTGCAAAATATTAGTCTTGAATAATTTTTTACTCAATTACTGTCAACTTTACAGAAAAACAACAACAGATAAAAATTATTTATTTTCTTCTCATAAAATTCTAAGAATTTTTTCAGAATTTTTTAATAACGTATTTTTTTTATGTTTTTGTAAAAATAAGAAAATATAATACTAAAAAGTTGATAAAATATTCTGAAAAAATTCTTAGAATGTTATGAGAAGAAAATAAATAATTTTTGTTTCTTACAGTTTTTCTGTAAAGTTGATAGTATTTGAATAAAAAATTATTGAAGACCAATTTTCGGTAATTTTTAGTAAATCTTGTTAACTATTGCGAAAATTGCAAAATGGTAGAGGACTTTTCGACTCAGTTTGGTCCGCTCTATCTGTCCATGAAATATTTGGCTATTATTTTGAGACACCCTGTATATTGGTGAATATTTACGATTATATAGACACACACACACATTGTAATACTTTTTACATAAATCTACCAAAAAAGAATTTTGTCAGTTTAAATATCATTATGATGTTGCAAAGCAGTCGCTTGTAGCAACACAAATTAACGGCGACGCAAATTAACTAATTCTGCTTGTAATCCGATCGATTATAGGTATCACGAATGCAATGGAAGCTAGAGGCCTTAGTCTTGAAAAATACCGTATACGAAAATATTATAAGGAAAATCTAGAGTTGAGAAGTAACGCGTTACTTTTTTCGTTACTTTTTTCAGTAACGATCGTTACTTTTTTCTCTCTTTAACGGCAACTATAATGTCGTTATATTTTTGCAGTAACAATAACGATTCAGTCGTTACTTTTATCGTTATTTTAATTTTTATTGGATGGGTCGGATTGGATCATATTTCGATATTGCTAGCTAAAAGATGTTTTGTTTTTGTGTCTCTAAAAGTGTACTTTTAGTTATTCAAGTTGAGTCGTTACAATAAATGAGCGAAACACTTAAAATTTTTTTAATGCTTATGTAAGTATACAAATATTCGACGATTATTTCTGCCAGATTCGGTCGTTTTTTTGTGCAAAAACGCGTCGAATAAGCCTAATTTTATCAACGTGTGAGGGAGCTAACTCAACAATTTCCTGAAAAGTAACGAAAAAGTGACGATTCATTACTTTTTCAAGTAACGGTAGCGATAACGCGTTATTTTTTTTAAGATAACGTTCCCAACTCTGGAAAAATCTACAATGTAACGTATACTATAGTGTTTTTCATACATTTTCGTATGATGCGATATTTTGCAAGAATAAAAGACCTAAAGATATATTGGACAGAGAAAGCATAATAGTAATTATTCTAGAACTTCTTTGCCCTTCCTTTTACTTTAACACCGCTTTTGACGCTTTGCTTCAAGACCGGCTATAATGCTATAAAATAGTAATTACGACGTTTTGTAATTTAACTTTGCAATGTTAATTGGCTATGCAAAACAAGATTCAATTATCTTACTTTTGCTAGGTTACAGAGTGACGAAGACAGATAAAATTCATGATTCTTCAAATAAATTTGTTACTTGTCGTAATAAATTTGTTGTTTACATACACATTGAATATTTTAATTACGTAAATAATAATAACTAATAAGAAGTTGAATTTTACGATGAGAGGAAAAAAGTTGGAATTGTTAGGAAAATTTTCCCGTAATGGAGTATCCCGATTTCACCTTTTCATTTATCAGTTATCGGAGAAACTTGTCACTTCACCACTTTCAGTTTTGTTACAGCTTCTGTAGAGAACATAGCATATAGGTTGCCGATGGAAAGCCAATCTTCGTACACAGTCGGGGTAGATAGTAAATGTTAGACTAAGAAAAGAAAAAAAGAGAAAAATAGCGATCCCCTCCGTATCTCGCGTATCCGAATATTGTGAACAAGGCTTATCCTCCCAGTTTACGTAACAATAATTTCTAGGATAAAATGCAGCTTAACGTGTTTATCAAACGCTAATATCTTTCTTTAGAACATATAATCATTAAACACGTATAATCATCTATAGTGAGAGCATAAAGTATTCGTACAAGGAAATTTATTATAAAAAAAGCCTTATTTGTAGAAAATAAACATTAATTAGCAATTTTATACAATGAATACATTCTGTTCTAATATAAAATAGATTCGCATGTATTCCTAATTTTACAAACTAAATTTCTCGTCTGTACAAATACTTTTTCAGCATTCAAACAATACAATTTTTAATTTTCGCTTATTTTTCGGATGATATATTTTGTATAATTAATATACATTATTGTGGTATTATATAATTTTAAGAAACATACAGTCTATTTTATTCTTTATGAATAGATTATTAATTATCTAACAAGAAATGATCGTTAATTAAACGTCGAATCGATGTCAAATTGGTGTTAAAATCGTCGAATTTATATCGATTCGACATCAATTCGATGATTCATTCCTCGCTGGATAACATTTACTTTTTAAAAATAAAGTTTTTAAAAAAATATTTTCTCTGTACGAATACTTTTTGTACTCACTCCATATGTATGTATGTTATATATATATGTTACACGTATACTATTCTGTGATTTGGATCATTTGCAAAATAAATGGTTAATATCAGAAAATGATTGCGCTAATGGTACGTTGGTTGAATAGTTCATACATTCCAAATAAATATGGATAACTGTTAAAAATATTCTTAAAATTTAAAGCAATAAAGTAAGGTCTTTAAAAAGCAAAACTGTACAAAAGCTACAGTTTTCTATTGTTTTATTATTCATATTGTGCATGTTAGTTTGTTAACTATTTGAATGTAAAGAAAAATGTGATATAGATAGATGCGTATAATAAAGAGTAAATTATGCTATTAGTATTCCATTATCTCTTTTTAATTAATAAGTTAAGGACAATATAGGTATAACTGATTCAAAAGGTTTTCAAGAGATTAATTGAATAAGATTAAAGTGATTTTAAAGATAAATTAATTTTTGTAAAAGTGAAATAGCTGACAGATGGCAAGTTAGATAAAAGATCCTTTTCTCAAATGATAACAGAGGTTGCCTTTCGTAGCGTTTTATCACAGAACTAAGATGCGTAAACTTTCATCCGTGCGTAATGTAATTTATCTCAACATCGCGATATATTTTCCATTTCAGTAAGATAATTCATATATATTATTAAATAATCATGGACTGTTTTTAGAGAATGGACACAAAGTAAATGTTAACCCTTTGGAGTGCTGAAACTTGTATAAGTAATCCGCTGACTTTTGCATTTATGTCGCGGAAATTATATTACGTCGACCGTGTGCGTGAAAGGCGAGTTCGGGACTACAAAAAAACGCGCGTGTTGACGTAGAAATGGTAATTTCAACGAAGATGGTGGAAAACTCGCGTAAGAAATGACCGAGCAACTGCATTTCTCTGTGCATGTACATATACGCTATGCTGTAAAAATTATGCTTAGTAAGGTACTGCAGCGGACGGAAAATTATTCAGCGTTTTTATTCGGCGGCTCGGTAAGGCGTTTCATAATTCAAAACCAGAAAGGTTAATTGCGACTTAGTTAAGCACAGCGTAATATGTAAAAAGTGCGTTATAATAGTTTAAAGCGCATCAGTTTGGAATAAAGTGCATGTTACACGCCAGGCATAAAAGAAGTGTTTCGTTAAAAATAGCCACACATGATCAAATTTTGCAAAATACAGGGCGCGAACTTTTCGTATTTATATCATCGTGGTGCGAGCATAAAATCACGTCTGGAATATTGAAATCGCGTACAGCAAAAACGAATGGGAATGATTGGAAAAATATGCGAATGATTTGGCTAAGCGTTTCGATACCTCAAAAACCACTTAACGCATTTGACTCTTTACTGTTTTTGTCAGACATGTTCTACGTATATTCCGATATATTTCATTAATATAATTGCTTTATGTAAATTTTTATAAAAAAATTTGAAAGTTACGCGATATAAAATATCACGTAAAATTCCATGTTCAATGTATCAAATCATCATATGCTCATCATATG